ACTTCACAGTTAGGGCGGCTAGGAGCTGGAACCAACTTCCAAGGGAAGTGGTGCTGGCCCCTACCCTGGGGGTCTTTAAGAAGAGGCTGGATGCCTACCTGGCTGGACTCATTTGAGTCCCGTTTCTTGTTTTGGGGTTTTGTTGTTCTCCCGCCCTGGCGGGGGGTTGGGCTAGAAGATCTACTAGGTCCCTTCCGACCCTAAATCTATGAAACTATGAATCTATGAAACTATAATTGGTTATTGTTTGTGCAGTACTTTGAATCCATACAATATTGCATAATTTTCAAAAAATATTTTAATAATATCCATGTTAGTTTTGTACATTAGTTTCCTTTTATTTTTGGAAACCAAGAGACTGGAAATGAACCTGAAAAAATAAAAAATATGAATTGGATAGAAGCACAAAGATGATTGCAAAACTACTGCATTTTTATCTTTGCGTACTTAGAGAAATAGGTCACTGCCCCCAAGAGCTTGCAAACTAATGAGGCAATAGCATAGGGGTGGGCAATTATTTTGGTTGGAGGGCCACTTAATGAGTTTGGTAAACTGTTGAGGGCCTGAAGGGTAGTCCCACCTTTTGACAGGTGGCCCACCCCCTGGTCATCATCTTGGAACTGGAAATCCTGTCCCTGACTCCTGACCTTTGCCACCTGAAGTCTAATCCCTTGCCCCCAGAAGTACTCCTTTTGGGAGGGTTGCCATCTGAACAAGAAAAAAAATCATATACTAAAAGTCAAACATTAATGTATTTTAATTTTATTACAAAAAATAAGAACCCTTGTTGGGAGCAGCGGGGGGGGGCAACTCCCACTACTGCACACACCCTATCCCACACCCAACCCCAGTTGTACAGGGCCTGCCTGTCCCCCAGCTTCAGCCCCACTCCCTCCCTCACTGCTGTGTGTGGGCGGGGGTGGGGCAGATCAAGGCCCCAGTGGTAAGGGAGGGAGTGGGGCACAGGCAGGAGGAGGGACTGGGGTGAGTGGGGCCCCAGCTGAGCCAGGCCTGATGGTGCGACAAGTGGAGCCTGGGTAGATCATTCAGAGGCACAGGGGGAGGGAAGGGGGCTCCTGCCACTGTGCACACCCCAGAAGAAGTCTGGGGCCATGTGTCCCTGATCTGCGCACAGAGCAAAGGCAGCTGCTGCTGTGTGCTGCACTTTGCTCCCGGTTGCAGCTGCCCCAGGAGAAGTGTGATGCCATGTGCCTGCTGTCACTGGGCAAAGCCGCACCCCCTACCCTCCCAGTGGTTGGATGCACATGACATCATGCAGGTCTCAGGGTAGCAGGGCTCAAAGACCAGCATGCAGTAGCAGCTACCTCCACCCTGCATGCAGATTGGGGTGGGGGGAACATGCCCCCCAGGCCTCCATTTGTCCCACCGCCCAACTGGAGCCCCACTCACCCCAGCCCCTGCTCCTGCCTGTGCCCTTCTCCCTCCCTCACCAGTGGGGCCTTGATCTGCCCTCCCCATGCCCCTTTCCCTTCCCCCACCCTTCCCACACAGATTTGCCTGATGGAGGGAGGGACGCACACATGCACCCAAATAATTTTTTCTTCTTTTGCCTATGCAAGGAGGAGCTGCTGGAGGCTGAGGAAGCTGAGCAGGTCCCCTGGCAGCTGCAGCAGTGGCAACAGCAGTCCCACCCAGAAGCTGCATGTTGTCTGGGCTGGGCCCTTCTGCATACCAGGATGGGAGTGAGGTGCATCGGCTAGGTGGGATACAATTAATTGGTGGGTGCCTGCAGGCCAGATGGAATTCCCTGGTTGGGTCAGATCTGGCCCGTTGACCATATTTTGCCTGCCCCTGCAGGAGCAACATTCAACGCTTATGTCACAGGGAGAAACCAATGGGAAAACCCTGAGGAGCCCGGGGGGAACCAGGGGAGCAGGAGCTGGTTGGGGAAAGAAAAGAGAAAAAAAGAGAGGCAAACAGAAAGATTCTTACCATTATCCGGAACCGCAGCAAAGCCAGAAACAGGGGTGGGACCCGAGCGGCTCGTTAGCCGCGTTTTTATAAAGTTGCAGCCAGCTGATAACAGCAGCTGCAAGAGCCGGCCAGGCGAGTTAAAAGGAGCCGCGGACGAGGACAAAAGGGAGAAACCAGCTGGAGCGCTGGAGGGGGAATCTCTCCCGGAGTCCCCTCGGAGGGGAGGAGCGTGGGGGTTTGCATCCTGCAGCCCCGGAGGACAGAGTGAGACCCTGCAGAAGGAGAGCGCCGCTGGCAACGAGGCAGGAGGCGAGAGGGCAGAGCAGAGACTCGGAGACAGAAGGGAGCAGGAGAGGTTTGAGACCCGGAGTTGCCCACAAAGGGTCAGGAGAGTCAGCAGAAGCCAGAATGCTGGATCAGGTGGGACCGTAGAGGGCTCAGACAGCCCCATGGAGGTACCCCAAGTGGAGGCTGAAGGGCACCGTCAGCGGGAAGGGCGATGGAGGATGGGCAATAGCCACATAG